ATCGTGCCAAAATCAGCGTGAAACGTCACCAAAGGTGCGAACCCCACTACCTGACACAGGTGATCCCAAGGTAGCTTTTCTTTAATGATTAAAAAGGACTACTTTAACGGCGAATTTGACTCTTCTTTATTTGATTTTTCGGAAGTGATTAAATTACGTTATATTGTGAAAAATTCGATTGAATATAAGCGTGATAAAGAGCAGAATTGAAAGAGGTATTTTTTTATTTATTCATTCATTCCTTCGTTCGTTCGTTCGTTCGTTCGTTCGTTCGTTCAAATTAATTTATTATTTTTATCCATCCATTTTGCTTTATTTAGTCATCCCTTATCTTTATATTTTATCTTATCTTTCAATGTTCTTGCAATATTAGCAATCAATATTGTAATTCCAACGCAGACAAAACAGTGTGCGCTAAGTGTAAAGCAGAAGTTTTTAATTTTTTTTTTGTTTCGAACTCGCTTCCTGAAAACTAACCAGAACTGGAGTAATATAAGGGCAACATGGTGTAACCCGGGTAACGCTCGAACACACGAACCCTGTGTACAGCGACAGACCCTATAACCTCTAGGACACCGCTCCCGTTCTCATATATTTACAGTTTAATATCTGACCAATAAGTTGATTTTTTTTAATGAGCTTAAAAGTCAAAATTGTTTGAATTCTGTAAGAAAGAAAGAAAGAGGATAGGGGTATTTTTTACAATATCACGTCAAGTGCACTTTAATATAAAATGTTCTCTTATCTTGATAATATACATCCGACATGCACACAAGTTTTTTTAAAAGTGGAGAAGGTTTGTTTTAATTTCCCCTAACAAATGGTAGAAAATTTCCCAGATAAAAATGATATTGAATTACTTCCCTTTACCACTGATCTTTACTGTCTAAAGATAACATAGATAGGAAAATTTGTAAGAAATTTACTGAAATTGGACATGAAAGAGACCGCCGATCGCACGCGCGTGTTTATCGATGATCATTCAATGGGTATCGTTGGTTAGATAGGCAATTTACTACAATTAGATTTCCACCTCTTTGAAAAGAGTCAATTGGCTGGCTATCTAAACACTTTCTAATTCAATCAACTATTGACTTTAGCGTATTTATATGGCTATCAAGTCGTTACTGAAGACCCCCGACTTATCACCTACTTATTTGAATAAATAAAGGATTTGATAAAACAATTATTCGGACAGGAACATCTATATTTGTAGCGTTTATTGTATTTGTTTATGATTAACCGTATTATATGAAATGAGATAGGAGATAATTTACCACCTTGACTAACTCCTCCGAATATTTAAATGTGCACATCTATAGAAGTCACGATGAGTTATGTGCTGACTCATCTTCCATTCGCGATGCCGGTCTGTGCTTGAACTGGCAGACAGAGAATTTGAACTGAACACAAAAACTTCAACCAAATGAAACAATACAAACAGTATACTAAAATAGATTGACATCTTCACGTCCGAGAAAAAAAAAGAGAAAAAAAATCAAAGAAATCCCAATGTTTCAATCACAGCTAACCACGGTCACAGATATACATACACTAATTAAATACCATGCCACGGCTTTAAAGTAATTAATAATGCCGTGTTTTTGCGACATATTTTAGCAACAATTTACGTATCGTGAGTATATCATATACTTATTACTTTAACTACATACTAGTATATCGAATAAGTTGAGTTTTCATTTGGTTTGAATGTGTTCTTTAGGAAATAAAAGTTAGAACTTCATGCAACTCTGTTTTTTTCCTACTGGGGCAAAGGGGACTGGAAAAGAGCATTGGAAATCAAATAAAAGTTACGTAAAAAAATCTTCTTAATTATTTTATAGTGTAAAGATAATGGCGCAACATCGGACAAAATTGCGTAATCATGCGTTGAGAGGTGCGCTATTGGTAAAACCATGCGTCCAAAAGACACCGAAGGCGTGACGTTAATTGTTTTACGCCAAGGTCTGAATTGCACGAACTTCTGAGAGAAATGAAAGCCGCACGCGACAATTTCAATTGACGGACTGATGTTAAGTTTCTGTTTGTTCGGGAGTACTGTCTTCTTAAAAAGTGCATGCCTCTAGATGAGCAAAGAATAATATAGAAATCAACCATAAAGGCACATTATACCTTAGAAATTCATATATATTTTTTTAATTCGTTAGAAATGTCAAACATAATTATGTTTAAAATGTTTTAATACCAGATTTTGTCTAACAACTGAAGAAAATGTCACTGAAATTACACTAACGTGTCATAATGGTAGCAAAATGACTTACAAAATAAATGTACGTTAATTCACTTTGATTCCTAACAAAGCAAAAAATGTAAAAAAGTTCTTTATGGCATATAACTAATTGTAACGAGATACCAAAAATGAAACGTTTTTTAAGAAATAAAAATTATAGCATATCAAAGGCTTAATAGGGCTTTAAGAAAAATGTACTTTAGATACTTAAAAAAAGTAAAAATATTTACAATTCAAGTAGTGATTTACATGTTACATACAACAAATGACAGGTTTTGCAGTATTTATCACCATTTTTATACATCATAACTTACGCTGCACTCTGTGAGTTTTATTTGGTAATTTACGTGGATTGAAAGTGCGATTTGCAATGTTTAAAGTGTAAATAATTTTCTCTTGAAACTATTTTACTTTTTCAAAATGTTCATGAAAACTAGCATGAGTCTGAAGGTTTACTGCTTTAATAATAATAGCATGAGATATTTCTTAACTTGAAAGACCCTGATTATAAACAATTTTAGTAAAAAAAACAACAACAAAAACGAATAGAGTTCACCTAAATATTTAAGATACATATTCCTTCTGCAGTTTGGTTACACTGTAATGTAAGAAATATATACACATGTAGTTTTATACTATGAAAACATACAAAATTTGCTTCTAAAATTAAACCTTTGTGTGTGAACTATAGAGAAATTTTATGGAGGAAAATAAATTTGAACTTAGAACTGACGTCATCTTTGATTTATGCCTAGCTAGCTTGAGAAGTGTATGATTGCGTTGAATATTGTTTTAATTTGTGTCTCTTTAATTATTTGGTTTCCCAAGTTTAAGAAAATAGATCATATAGATATAATCTTACTCATCGGTCGTGTGATAGACCTACAAACAAGATAGTCCGAAATTCTAAATGTGACACAAAGATTTTTATTTCAATGACTGTCTCGGACTTAATTGTAAATGTAAGAGTGGTTTCCTCCGTTTTGAAGAGTTTGAAAAGATTGAGAGGAAGCGATTAAATAGTTCTTATCTTTTAGGGCCTATTTGAATGACTATTTTTAAAATATAAGGAAAACTAGTTTTTTTCTACTTAAAATGTAAGTTTGTAATTGAAAGATAAACACCCCAAAACATAGTTTTAAAACAAGGTTATTGTACTTGTTCATTGTTCCTCTTTAAGTGGATGGTCTGGTGAAAAGCCAATCAGTGACTGCCTGATTCGCCGCTTTTTTAAAAACCATCTCCAGTCGGATTTCATAGCGTAAAATTATTTCGGTTAGATACCACTAAAACATCTGTAGTAGGAAGTTGTAATATGCCTTGCATACGCCCCCACTAATAATCTTCATCACTTACAAATTAAGCATAAGGCCAATCACTGGGTCAATGGCCTATTAGAGACATTGATATATCTTCATGTCTTTGATTGGGCCAAAAATCAAATGACAATATCAATTTATTTTTTATCATAAATATTGAAATTTTCCTATCTGTTCCTTTCCGTGCCCGGCGGTTTCTTCCTTATAAAAAAGTGAATATATGGATTCAAAGCGGGATTAAAGCGACAGAAAAATGTATTTGCTGTTCGCAGAAGCTTTCTTTTATTTGATGTCCAATTTATTTCATATTTGAAATACGGGTCAATATACGTGGGACCTAAAAGATTAACGTTACAGTATCTTCTGCAGGTGTTACTTACCTTTTTTTCTACAAAAATAGTGTGAAAGTGTTAATCCAGCTAACGATAAGGCGTCACCGACTAAGAGCCATGATAACTTTAGTACACAGCGAAGAAGCGCTACGAATGTTTATCAAATAAAAGGCTCTTTACAATTGTAACAATTATTTGTTAATTCAATCATTAAGTTCACTAATTAAATATACACGGCGGCCTTTGATACAGATAAAAGCAAAGTAATACAATTATTCTCGCGAGAATATACGAGATCAGAATAAGTGGAATTATGGGTTGAAATCTTTGTTTTTATTATTGTTGCTCAATTTTCAAGTATATATATCAACGTTCTTGTTAGTTCCTTTTACGATAGATAATGTAATAGCATTGTTATTCAGAAGGTGTTGCATGTATTATGCAAATTTATTTGTCTAGACTCCGCCTCCACGGGAGGTCATATGATACTACTTTTGATAACGGCAGTGTCGTCTGCTACGTGATTCGCTGAAATTTAGTTCCTTGTTTAAAGTACATATATTATAAACTGATTGCACCACAATAGATCAGTAATTTCGAGAACAGTTAGGAACTATTTGAATTGATAACATTTGTGATCGTATACATTATTTTTCTTTCCACTGATAATCAAATAAAAGGAATTTCTGAGTTCTCAGACAAACATATAGTTGGAGTTTTAAATAGTTTTTGTTCAATATTTGAAGGTATATCTTATTAAATTTTCGAGAAAAAGGCATATTTCTGACTTTTTCCATAAAGTAAAACAAAAATATAAAGGATCAATTACAAGCAGGAAATAGAAAGGATAAAATAATGAACTAGCTTGAATTGCACACAATGAAATGCTTCATATCTGATTTTCACTGATGACTATTTTATTTCAGTTTAATTTAAGAAAAAAATCCTTTAAGTTTTATTTCAATAATTCTGAAATCAAAGTTTTATTCTGTTTTTATGTTCTATCTTTTCTGTAATACATAACTAGCCAATGCCTAGATAAGTTTTGAATCTAAAACGTACCTTAACAAGATACTATATTTTATTTCTATATTTTAGATATTCAACAATGGCGGTATCACCGACGGCGTTTCCTTCCAGACCTTTGCCAGTCTACCCTACACTTCCACCAGCATTCCTGCATCCGTATTTCCCGGCGACGACAGCGGAATTTAGCCTTACTCATGCTGCGGTACAGAGTTTAACGCTTCCTTACACAGTTCCATTAAACAGTCTTTACTTCACCACAAGACATGCTCACATAGCCCAGTTACAGCACCTCCAGTACTCCAGTTATAGTAATGGACTCGAAACCTCACCTGAACGTTACAGGAATTCATCCATGCCAAGTTCACCCTGCTCGCCACACTCAGATTGTAACCAGAGTTCAGTGCTCGACTCCTCGTCCGAGTCCGTCTGCAGTCCGAAACCAGAAAAATCCGGTAAGCTTTTTTTTTTCAAGAAATATTTTAAGTCTGATAATGGAACCATTTATTTACATGTATTTTTAACATTAACAAAAGAATATATTGGGGTAAAATCAGGGAGACTAGATTCACATACGCATTTGTCTTGAAAGTTTTACACGAGTTCTTAATATCTTTCCTTTGAATAAGCTACCGTTTGAAATATATGAACAAAATGATTTTATTTTATTTTTTATAAATGTTCTTATACAACGCGTTGCATGTTGTATAAGTTTTAAAAAAAATAGATGGATTGTAAAAAAGACGCCGTTAACAATATTTTTTATTTTTAAAAATATTTAGTACTGAAATGTATCATTTACAATTTCAATCTGAATTTTATTAAATAAAATTTGATTTCGAAAACATTTCATCTAAATTAGAAACAACATGTTTGTAAATTCCGCGCAGAAATATATATATTTAACTTTGCAAATTTAAATATGTTATGTTTATATACTGGTTGCCGTTTAAGGGTCGGTCATTCCCATATATATCTTATGCTAAAGACAAGATAAAAGAAATCTCCCATCATTTAATTGTCTTCATCACAGCTAATAAAAATCTTTAAGGTACAGGTGCTTTAATAATACTTTCCTTTTTCATATAAAACATTGACAGTTCTCCTAAATCAAACGGGCTTTTTTATTCATTTGTGTCAGTTATATACTAAAATAATAATGACTCCAAAAATGACGGCACCTTTTGGCAGGGAGATAAATATTGTAAATATCTGGATATATTATATTTGATATGTTTGCTGCTATTTTGATGTCCAAACCCCTAAAATTTGCAATAAACTTTATAAATAATGTATATTTGGTTATTTACTTTCAGAAGGAAAAAAGCCTCGTTTTGATTTTGCGCACCTCGCCGAAGCAGTCTCGCGGGATTTGGAAGAAGACGACGAGCACAGATCACGAGATGCTCAAATTGTTAGTCATGTGACGTCATTTATCCAGGAGAGAATCAGGTAAAAAGTTGTCTGTACTCTGCACTTTTTTAAGACAAGTCAGTGGTTGAGAATTAGAGCGTCAGTGATATTTTAAACTTGAGACTGTAACCCTGCTGGCGGGATTTTTTTTGCTAATGCGGCCACTACTCATGCGGCCAGTGCATACCAGGATACGCCAGCACACCACCCCCCCCCCCCAAAAAAAAAATAAAAAAAAATAAAATAAAATAAAAAAAAATAGACAAGTTTTTTTATTAAGAAACTTAGCGCCTTTTTTCAATGAAATTTTATTTAATTTAATTATTCTACGACTTTTATTAAAGTAAATTGCACAATAATCAACAAATTCAAAGAATGATTAAATGTTTGTTGAATTTATGGAACAATTTAACGAAATAATATTAATAAAAAAATAAACTGCTAGACCTACAACTCCATGTAATTCATTGTCGAGAAAATGAGGGGGGGGGGGAGCATTATTTCGTTATCCAATTACAAATATTTTTATATAAATATAAACAAGTAAAGGTTCAGAAAAAATAATGTTTAAGTTGTAGTTATTTATTTAATTAAGTCTCATTCATACAAAAAATATATTACCAAAGCTGTATTTAACCATTCTATATTTGGAATTTTATAAATTATTACATGTATCAAATGGCCCGAGAATTTTGTTTTACATCAATTACACCACTTTACGTAGTTCTATACCAATAATTTGTGTACAGTTTCAGACCATTCGCTCGTTTCGTTTTTTACCAGAATGAATATTTTATTGTAAATAAATAAACTTTTAACTTAAATTGGGCTAAGAATCGCACTACTGATTTTCAATTTTTCTCTTTTCTCTTTTATCTTATTTTCCCGTTTCAAGTCCCCCAGATATGTTTAAGTATATTTAGGTTTTTGAACTCAGTGGCGCTCCTTTAACATACATGTACACATGTCCAGAAAATTAATGCCATACAAGAAAGGTTGAAAAAAAAAGATTTAAACCTAAATATAGCACGATATTTTCAATAAATGTTTGAATAACAGATTTTCGTATAGATGTTTATTGTGTTATAATTTGCTTGTATATGTGATCTGTCTAAAACTAATGTAAATACATGTATTTTATTTTTCCAGATTGAACGCCATGTTAACTGCCATGTCAGCTCCATACAGTAGATTGCAACATTGTACCCAGTTATCTGCAGACACTTCGAAACCTAGACGACCAAAAAGGTGAGGTTTTTTTTCCTTCTTCTTTTTAAAACAATTGGCGTGTTGTAACTATACCTTTATAAATATTTCGAAGTTAAAAAGGAAGCAAAATATTAAGTTTTTAACCTTTATTATTTATTAAAAGATTTCTTTGAGTTAAGTGACCAAAGTTATCAGATTTCTATTTAAGAATGACTTGTTTTACTAAATGATGCAAAAACATTTCCTACACAAATGTCTCTCAGAAGGCTTAATTAATAGTAATTACATGATATTTTGATATTGATTTGAGAAAAGGAACAGATAAACGTAATTTCATGATAATTTGATATTTATTATAGATTTATTTTGTCTTTTCAGGGCAAAGAAACAGTTCATCTGCAAGTATTGTGGTCGTCATTTTACAAAGAGTTACAATCTTCTCATTCACGAGCGCACACACACGGACGAACGACCATTTCCCTGTGATATATGTGGCAAGGCTTTCAGACGTCAAGACCATCTTAGAGATCATAGGTATACAGTCTGACATATTATTATCAGTTTTATAACATGATTATTTTTTGTCATGTTTTATTTTTTTATCATAATAACTGGAAAAAAAAAAGAAATCAGTTTGTATTCAATTTGTCCAGAAAAAAGTCAGTAATTTTATCAACGTTATCTGCATAATTTTATATTATTTGAACTATGATCAAAGTTTATTTTTTCAAAATCGCCATCGCTTAATATGTACGAAGGATATCTCGTGACAGTATATCAGGAGAAACAATTGTCATTCTTTAAAAACTTCATTCGCAATTTAACGGTCATTCAGAAATTTACTGACAAAGCATCATTTATATTTAGAAATATGACTTTGAAATTTCTTTTGTTACTCTCATATGATACATCAAAATATACCAAAAAACAAATCATTCAATACGCAATTGTTATTATCATGTTTAGTAATTATCACGAGGCACCGGCCCAATTTAGATATGTCAGATCTTAAAATAAGCGTAAAATTTCTAATTTACAAGGGCGACCGGTAGTCATATGCACTGTGCGTCTCGTGTTTTCATACTAAAGTTCAATTGTTTAATTACAATGGTCTATCTATATCTGAGGAATATAGTGGCCAGTCAGTATTCTAAATAGAAACTGGTAACCCTCCTTCTTTATAACATAATTATGCAAATTGATTAAAGTTCAACAGCTTACTGAAATTATGATGACTTACTGAAATTATGATGACGCATCAAGTTTAATATACTCGTATAGCAAATCTGGAACAAAGTAAAAATATAATGTTGTTTTTTTGTTGTTGTTGATGAACTTGCATTTTATGCATATATTGTTTTTTTTTTCAATCGGTGTGATCATCAGTTGCATATTTCATTAAAGTGAACTGGTCTACCATGGGAGCTCATTTACTCTAAGCATTAAAAGAATTGAGAAAACAATAGAAATGTATCATTTGGATATTCTTCTGAAATATATCTTGAGAAATAAAATGTTGATTGACTTGTACGTTGTTTAGTATGGTCATTTGCGTGATGAATAACAATATTTTGTTCTAAAACAATTTATTATCTGCATTTTAAAGATATATCGTTTCGGATCATATATCACACACTTATTAACAACATATATGACATTAGTTATGATGATAACAGATCTTTCATTATGAACCATTCATTTTAATTAATATTTTGAAATTGGCGAATTGCTGGATTGAGGAACTGGCAAAATAATAAATTCAAGTAATATCTGTAACGATTTCTAAAGAAAAAAGACAACATAATTAATTTTTCACTAATTTAAAAGCGTTAGTGTTGATTAATTTTTATTCATTACTGAACTTATATCTTGTAATGTAAACTTGTTAGATGACAATTTCCCAATTTTAACAACAGCTACTGGTCACAAAGCACATATGTAACGATTTTTCTAGAGCTAAAACATATTTGGACGAGCCATTTTAAACTTAAATGTTAGTATTTTTTGAAATCATTTACAAACAATTGTTGAGAAAGTTTCACTGATATTACTACGAGAAAGCTTTATTAAAATAAGTGCGATACGGAGAATTTAGTACAGTATAATTCAACTGTGTTCTTTATATCAGAGAGAAAAAGTAATTCTTATTTAAAGATACACTATGCTCATTCGTGAGTAAAATATCTTAATCACAGAAATTTATTGAAATCAATAAATCTCTTACTGAATATGTCTGATTTTAATAAAAGAATGGATAAACTATGTATGGGAACCTGCGTTTCCTATTACGGGACAAGTTAAGTTGGTCTTTTCTTAAAAAACTGCCAGTTTTTTTTTTAATGAGACTATAATTATATACATATTGTGACCACTTATAGTGTGTAGGATTTTAAACATAACATATCTTTCTTTAATTGAAGTCAATACGTGTTTATTTCATATTTACAAAGATACTGAGAAGCAATTATCAACATTTTCTAATATTAAATGTGAGCATAGTATATCTTTATTCATTCAGATGTGAACATAATTATAAGCCGCAAAATATCATATAATTGTATAAAGTGATATATATCTTTACAAACATACAATGTATATGACTTATTTGTCAAATATCAGTATATTATTATTGTTGTATATATTTTAGATACATTCATTCAAAGACAAAACCGTTCACGTGTTCGGTATGTGGGAAGGGATTTTGTCAGTCACGGACTCTACAAGTTCACAGAGCGACCCATGACCATCCAAAGCACGGCCTTGCCATGCACAGTGCCAAACTTGAACCTCAGAGTTCCTGAAAATTCCGTGAATACAGGAAGACAATTCATTAAGACCATTTCCGTCAAACTTCGGATATTTCCGTCAAACTTCGGAATAGGTTTACATACAATCAGCACGATGTCCACCGAATGTTACCTTATCATTCATTACATGTGTTTAAGGACAATCACTTTGTGACGAATCTCCCAGCCAATGTTTTACAAAATGAAAAAACATATTGTTATATTTAAGACTATTTACATTTTTTTATATAAACATGCATAGTGAAATGAAGCAGTGTAATGCAGTGTAACAGACCTTTAGTCCCAAATTTGACATAATAGCACTAAAAGTGTTTTAGAACTAAAGACTTACTTCCATGCAACGATGTTATTCCGTCAACAAGGGAATTTATATTTTGTTATTGTTTATATTTGTTGATATTTGTTACTTGTGTGTACATATGTGTACTTTTTATATATCAATTTATTTACTTTTATACTTAATAAATTATTAAACCTTCTAATAATTTGTTTATCATTCAAAATGTTGCAAATACACCAAACATCATATAATGGTGTTCTATTTGGGCCAATGCATTTGTCGCAATTTCGACAAAATCAATAGAAAAGACGATTGCAAATATGAAAGAAAGAAAATTTATAAGTACGATGCAAAATCACGAAAATGTACAATATAAACATTAGCATCTCCCATCATATTTTCAACCTTCGCATACTTATCTTTTTCCCGCTAACACATCATCATATTGTACTGTCACCATTCCCAATGTAAGTCATAACGACGTAACTACGGTGGCCCTAACGGAACAACATATTCTCTGGTTTCAAGCAGACAAGAGCTTCCCGTGAATAAATCAGACGACGCCAGCTATTATTAAGTTTATTTATCACATATTTGATATAATATAGTGTCAAATGGCATGTCCAGATTAAAAGTAATTCGCAAAACAGTCTTTACTATTAACACAAATGATGTTTAGAATACAATAAAATTAAGAAAACATATTATTTGCACATTCTCTGAATAATGTTGATAGTTTGCATAGCTAGAGTTGAAATTTTCAGTCCTTTCCGTAATATACAATCGAATACTGGTTAATATTTTACCAAAGTACCGGTATTATTACTGAAAAGACTGGAAAGTTACGATGAGACGAAATTACTTATAAGCAGGATTTACGACGTGCGGATTAAACACTGACCGCTTGTCATTATCATTTACCTTTTGAAAGTCATACACTTTAGTTTTGTATAAAAGATGATCTATCATGTAAAGCATATCTACTGAAATATGATGAAAACTGACCGAATACTTGCTACAGCATTCCGAACCCTGAAAAAAGAAAATATAAACGTATTAATTCGTATCTTGCTGACATTATCAAACATACCTGTTTTTACTGTGATGTTGAAGTTATCCATAGAAACAGTGGGTAAGCAAGTCTTCCTGTGCTAGCAAGAAATGATACAAATCTGCAGGTATCACACAATGATTGTAAGGAGCAGGTGCTTGACTGTGCTTGCAACATTTCATACCATTGGATAATATAGAGTAGTAATAAATGATACAGTGATTCATTCACGTACTGTGATAGGGGTTTTGGGACATCTGTTGTCAAATTATTTAGTGCGCTAACAGCACTCAGTCTGCTTCGATGTCCGACTAAGCAGTGATGACATTGAAAATTCAATTTAATGCTGGTAACAATATTATCGCAATGCTGAACTTTTGGGAAAGATTGTTAGGCAAATATTACATATGCTGGAGTAAAAGGCGTCGACGGAAACTTGAATTTACCACCGAGCCCGCAACCGTTTTTTACATTGCCATTTTTGGGTTTTTAAAAATAAATCAATAAATAAAAATGGCATTTAGACGACAATTTTGACGGGGTTTGGGGTCTTTCTTTGGCGTTTATAATAGTATATGATAAAAAGTTTCTTACATTCTTTGTTTACAGTTCATGTAGACATATATTATATTCATCCAGTAAAAAAAGCAAAATCATACGACAGCAACAAAACTATGCTTACAAAGTTAGCAGAATCTTGGTTCCATGAATAACTTTGCAGCCATTTTGGATATGGCGGGTATAAATGCCGTAACAACGATTCCGGATGGAATGTTTGACGTCCATCAGAATCCAAAGAGTTTAAAACAGAAACATTTGATTTCTGAAATCAAAAAAGAAAGGATATTTAACGCCACATACATACGAAATTCTGGAACAATATTTTGTAATAAAACTTTTGCGGTGGTGTACATCGCATTTTTTTCCACTTACATTCCTTCAAGTCTGGTCATGATTTTCTTGGAAATGGAAGTGCTAAATACGAATCAGAACATCCGGAAGAAAGTACAAATATACAGGACAATCAGTGCCAGCAGATTCGTAAATATGTCCTTAACAAACAAATCTCATAATTATATTACATTTGTATTTAGAGCTAGTGTTACATGTTATATTTAATACTCAGGAAGAAAACAAGTTTTCACGCTGTTATACTTTCACATTATCTCTCATAAACAAAGTCAATTCAACTTATTCTAAAATGTTCATATAACTTTCATATTGCTTTGGATGGGATCTTCCTTTATCCATATCATATGGATTTTTTTTTCAATAAATGGTTTCTATAGGGAAATAATCGTATATGGCAAGAATGAAAAATGTTCGTTGAAATGTAATATTAACAATGTGTATATACAGTACATATGTAATTTCAAAATAGTTGAATCTGTAAATACAATAAGTTTTAAATCACTCACAGTCAAGCATAATCCTATTTCAACATCTTCATCGCCGCCATCTTGTCTACAGTCGGCGTCTTGAAATCCAACGTGAATTAACTGATGAAGTCCACGTGAACTGATGACGTATCCACCACCACCACTCATATATCCAGTTCGCGATGTTTTCTTTGTCTACTTGCAAATTAAATAGGAAAATGATCTTAAGAACTTTAAAATGTGTTGTATTATACTTTAATAAAATAGTTTCTAAATATCATTTTAAAAGATATTAAAATTTGAAGAAAAAATTAGGCCCAGCGTTGTTTCTGAAGATGAAACTATATAGATATAACTAAAGAAATTCCAGGCAACGTCTGAAATACTTTCATATAGGAGCACAAACCCGATTTGTAAATCGATTAATTGCCTGTGACCATGATTATATCTAAGTAATTGTCAGGTACAGATTAAAAGACGCGAAATGCATAACGTGGAAAACTTGTCTAAAAGATGCAGATTATTTTTGTACTTATTTTTTGCACCAATACAGTAGAGGTCAAAACAGTATGGCAACTTTCCAGCTTTACCGGTGGAGGAAGACATCAGATGCTCCTTCGTGCATTATTTCAGACGCGAACGGGTACCTGAGTAGAACCTCCAGCGTTTTGTAAGCTAGCTGGATAGCTTCCTCACATGTAAGAGTCCAAAGTCCCAAGCGGGATTCGTATCCGCAGCGGTGATGGACACGTGGTTTGGAATCAACAACCTTAACCACTCGGCTACGAACGCCCCGATTCTACAATGTACTTGTATGACAAATACATTTACCTTCATATGAAATCCAAGGTACCCGGGCTTGCTAGAATCCGCGTGCGAAAGAAGGTAAAGCAGATTTTCAATTATGACGTAAGTATCGTCGTCGCTTTTCAGTATCCAATCAAAACTGTCCTTGTATGTTTGGTAGGCATATTCAAGAGCATGTCGCACTTTTGCAGTCAAGTGGGATCGCCCCTCTTGAACCGGAACGTATAAAAAAGATTCATCTTTTTGTGAAACTTCGGTTTGACCTGTTTAACAATTATGCAAAATTCTATAGCTAAGCACCTATTCATATGATTTTGGCATAGCACATGACCAAAAACAAGCAACAAAATTAGACACTTGTCTGACTGTTTAGGAAAACTGACAGCATAAAGTAAAAAAATGGAGCCAAAAATCAAAGATGCCGCCAAAAACGCCGGCCTTTTTGTTTAAACATTCGGGAAAATATTTAGATAAAATTGGTTTTTCAAATGATTCGAAAGGCCATAGTTAACATTTGTATGAATTTGATGTGTTAAAATACACAAGGGAGTTTTAACTAAAGCAACCTACCGTAAATAAAGAGATACTTATGGCATCGCTTAGCCCATGTCGCTTTTACAGCTGCCATTTTTGTTTGACCGGAAGCGGATGTAAGAATAAGGCAAAGTACACGCGTTTTTCTAATGACGTCATTTCCTGAAATGTTTCTATTTTGAACCTTCGACGGAACTTGAAAACTGTCTGAAAAACAGTTTTATATGATAATGAATTTAAATATTTAATAAGTAATGCGGGAAATGTAGGTAAATAAAGTAAAACAATAATTATTCTTACAATTTGTGCATTTAGTTTTACATTTAAACAATTTATTATTACATGCATTTAGATATATAATGTAGCATATGTACTTTATTATACGCACTAATGACCAAATTACTTTACAAAAATAAAAAGTTTAAGTGAAATTACATTATTGTCTGTTCAAACATTAATTTTCCTCTCGCCATTCATACGAAATATGAGGTTTATTTGTTTCATTACAACTGTTATACAAACATGTATCATAAACTAGTTATTTAGAAGAGAATTGGTTTATTTGATGTAGTTCAGCTTATTATGGCATTTACTTTGTTTTCCGTTATTTTTGTTGATATCTTCATCGTTTTATATGTCCTTATATTCTTCAAGCTTATGTTATCTCATATAAACAATTCAACAAAACTGTATTTGGCAACAGAGTCTTACCTTGCTTCCTGACCAAATCTTGTGTATAAACCAACGTCAGAACAGAAATCGCACCAAGCAGACAAACAGCCATCCATCGACTAGACCAAAAAAAAGAGGAAGAAAGTATACCTTCAAACTACATGTACTTCGAACGCTTCCGCGAACAGTATGCCTATATTTTTTGTTGCGTGAATTAGAAGGCAGTCCGTCCTTGTTTACAATGTTGTTTTCAGAAATTTAAAGAGTAGTAGGTATTTAATTTTACGAAATATGTGTATATAACTGAAGTCTTGATAAAATCATTATGGATTGATTTGTGAAATACACCAAGCGCCGTGCTTGTACATGTATATTTATAATGATAATGCTTATATTTTATTGTCAAATATACCATAATTTATAACTATATTTGAAGACTCCGTTTGTAAAAATTATCAAGTGACGCCATGAAGATTTCAGACAAATTAATTCTGCGACATAAAACGCATAATTAACACATGCTAAAAACATGTAATCAAGCATCAATTTGTCTTACCAAATGCCAAATTTATTCCTAATCCGAAAGAAGTCCATGCTGGACAAAATACCAGCTTAATATGTTATCATATTGTTTCTTAGTTCGATAAAGCCGTTAAACATGTATCACTCTGTTTAATATATTGACCATATTTATAGGTGTAAAAAAGATCAAATATTTATGAAGAAAAACAATACGGAAACCATATGTCATAAAACGTTGTCTATTATAAGAATCAAAGCACACGTAGGTGCTGAATACGAGTTATAGTGCAATTATTTCACGTTATATGTCGAATCAAAGAAGCCGCTACAAAATTTAAATATCTTATATTTCATAGGCAAGTCTGATATCTTATGTAATAAAACAAAAACCTTTGCTAGAAAAGTGGTATTTGAATCCGGCATGTAACTTTGTATTCTTTCATTAACTGACTGACCGCTGATGCTTGAAATAAAACAGTAAGAAAGAAGCTAATATTTATATTAGACAGTGGTAAAGGTGATGATGACGATAATGAATACCTCGATGATAATAATGATGGCGACGGTGATGGCCATGATGATGATAATATTAAGGACGACGACGACGATGATGATGATGATAATGATAATGGCATTGATGATGATGATGTTGACGATTCAATGCTGATGCTGCTGATGATGATGATTAAATTAACGATGATGATGATGATAATAGGATTATGATGAAATTAACGATGATGATGATGTTGATGATGATGATGATGAAAATGATGATGATATAAACGAAGATGATGATGATGCTGATGACATTAACGACGATGATGGTGATAACAATGATACTGATATTTTTACGAGGTTGATTTCAATGGCGTCTTTTGCGATGATAAAGCGGTGAGGGTGGGGATACTAGTAGTATACGAAGTTTCTTTGAGATTTTTTCAGGACATAGTATATGGTTATCTTAAATGACACTTAATTGCTGTTGATTGCGAGAAATGTGTGTTTTCATGCAAGTACGTTTGAACAGGTGTGGCAATGAAAACGGTATAGGTATGGAAATTATGTACATGTAATTTAAATAAAGTTTTGTTGTTGTTGTTGTTTTTTGCGAGTAATGTGTATTTTCTTGCAAGTGCGTTTGAACAGGTGTGGCGATGAACATGGTTGGTAATACTGTGTTCCGTTTGAACAATCGTGACTTTTTAATTAATTAGCCTGTACCCACGATGGCACGATGGTACGATGGTGAAAACACGATGGTACGATTATGAAAACGCGATGGTACGATGGTGAAATCGCGTTGGCGCGGTAGTACGATGGTGAAAACGCGATGTTACATCGTACCACCGCGATTTTTACCATCGTACCATCGATTTTTTACCATCGTACCATCACGCCATCATGTTTTCATCATCGTGCCATCGCGTTTTCACCATCGTGCCATCGTCTTCCGGTGGTCATGCGCAATGTTATTTTTTATCAACAATGTATGCCTTCTCATTATTGAACCCCGCACCCTTTCTACATTTTTGTATTTGTATATCTTTTAGATCTTAGTATTAAGAACATGAAATTAACAAAAAGCAACAGCTCAAAAATTATATAAAAAGTCATCCTTGTGCACTGTACATATAAAGTTTCAATTTTATATATTAAATAAAGCAAAAAATGCAAACATATATATAGCATATATAACCATTTATTAAATAGTCGTTGATCCATATACAGTATCACGACATAAATGGAAATTTAATGTCAGATAACAGGTTTTTTTTTTATCTTAAATTCAAATTAAATATCAAGTATTCTAAACATGTTTTTATTATCTACCGTAACAGAATCTGACATCTTTCTGTATGTGTACTGATTATACTAACCGAAAGGCGATGGTACGATGGCGCGATGACACGATGGTGAAAACGCGACACCTGGTACGATGGTGAAAACGCGACATCTGGTACGATGGTGAAAACGCGATGACACGATGGTGAAAACGCGATGGCACGATGGTGAAAAAGCGATGGCACGATGGTGAAAGCGCGATGGTACGATGGTGAAAATACGTTGATACGATGGTGAAAACGCGATAGTACGATGGTGAAAACGCGATAGTACGATGGTGAATGCGCGATGGTACGATGGTGAAAACGCGATGGCACGATGGTGAAAACGCGATGGCACGATGGTGAAAACGCGAAAGTACGATGGTGAAAACGCGATGAGCACGATGGTGAAACGCGATAATGCGATGGTGAAAGCGCGATGGTACGATGGTGAAAACGCGATGGTACGATGGTGAAAGCGCGATGGTACGATGGTGAAAACGCGATGGCACGATGGTGAAACACGATGGTACAATTGTGAAAACGTGATGGCACGATGGTGAAAACGCGAAAGTACGAAGGTGAAAACGCGATGAGCACGATGATGAAAACGCGATAATGCGATGGTACGATGGTGAAAACGCGATGGCACGATGGTGAAAACGCGACGGCACGATGAAAACGCGATGGCACGATGGTGCGATGAGTTTTTGTTTTTTGTTTTTTGCTATTCCGGGAACTGGAAAGAAGCCGTCTAAAATTAATGAGTGTATGTAAGGGAGACAACTCGTAAAACAAATAATTTCTATTTGTAATCAAGTTACGTCCCTGTATATAAAATTTTCGACGATGACCTTATACATCTCATCTGGCTTTTTAGAAAAGGATGGTCTCAGAGGGGAGTCCTGCATGGGTAGAAAATGCTTTCCTTACAAATTTAACCATCTAACTGACATATAATACATAGTTCTACTAATATATTTTCAGTTTTCAAGGCAGTTCCCGTTTTTTTATTTTTTTTTATTTTTCTATTTTTTTTAAATAGACACACGTTTATATATTCAGAACGAACAAATGATTGGTGGTTGTCTAGATAGCTGCAAAGTTTTCTAAAAAGTTTATCTTATCTGTTTAAGCTATAGATTTGCGGTGTTCCCGGGTCATGGACATATAGTTTTATTGACATATTCATATGAAACATCTTTAATACAAAGAACATTCAAATTCATGCTAGATCTTGACCAGCCAGGGACGTCCGAATATAATTCTTAAATAAAAAATTACTCTGACTTTGCAGCTTTCAATGTTTTAAAGCAGCACGCCTCCAGATTTATGCTTATTTTCAATGAAATTAAATGTAAAATATAGTAACCAAAAGGAAGCAATTTACACATTATCAATGGCACTTTCAACCCAGGTTAATTACAAAAAGAGGTCCAAATATTCAAAAAATGCCCTTAAGTACTGCGTTAGTAACGCAATGGAAATATAGCTACACATAATGAAAAATTCACCACTAATCGCTCATTACATGTAAATTATTACTTCAATTTTGAATCTTTCTACTTTTTCTAAAATCTTAGGACATTTTTCACAAGTTTGATTTATCGAAATTTTTTCGTTCATCTGGAGGCATGCTGCTTTAAGCCTATAGATAAAATTTTGATGATTACTAAACTGCCTGGATCTTACATATTAATCTGCATGCATCGGAGACAATTTAATATTTTGTTATATCTATAAATTATAAATATTTCCAATGTCAAATATTAAATGTCAAATCTTTTGGAAAATGTTTTATTAATCTAGAACTATATATATGTGAAAGAAAAAAGTAATTAGCAGGAAATTATACATAGAAAAAAATCACACATGCCGATTTTTCGTGTGATATATGCAGGCCTATCTATATTTTCTTTCTTTTTTTTTTCTTTTTTGTGCTAGCTAAATCAAAACTGCGTCGTATCCAACAAAATGTAAACAAACACCGCCATCTTGGAACGAAAAAGTTATGTTTTCGTTTATAACTCTTTTTGTTGGAAATGGCTGAAAACCAGATATATGTATGAACACGCTTTAGTTCGGTATATGTTGCTTGAACAACTATTTTGTAAAACAAACGTTATATAGCGAACTTGCAACTCGATGCGGGCCAGAACTTTTATGAAGTTTTGTGGATACGACGCAGTTCATATTGCTTTATCAATCTTTTTTCCTTCAAATCAATCATATACTCGTTTAAGAGTTCACCATAAACTTCAAAATATGATTTTGCATTATCCTGGTTTTACTATCTACCGGGAGTGTAAGCCTTATTAGGCCCACCATCATATATAATACAGAAAAAAAATCTAGGATAATTTCCGATAAAATAGTTATTTTCTGTAGAAGGTACCATTTTTTTGATGAAAATAACAATTATCCAAAAGAAATTTTCACTATATATACATCAAAAAGATAGTTCTGTTAATAACCTCATATGAGTGGCAGACATCATTGTTTTAAAGTACTTAATACCGGGAATGACTTTTAAGCAATCAATAAAAAGTTAAAAACATAATTTTATGTAAATGGTCCATCACTGCTAATGATAATAAAGTTCTATTCAATATTTAGCAGTTATCACACAGAAAAAGGGTAACAATTTGATAAGCATTTGCACACACATTCAAAATATCATGTTGTGTCATACTGCTGGTTTTTATACGTAAAACACATAAAATGTGAATAGGAATATTAAAACTTCAAATTTTCTTCATTAAATGCTATATTTTGTATGAAATTAATGTGAAAAACACTTGCATACAAAAGAATTTTTTATGTAAAGAATAATTTGTAATATCTGGACATTCCCGGTACAAAGTACCTCCCGGTATATTAAAAGTACAGTACCTTGGGATAATTACTAAAATTTCATTAAAAAGAGATGCTTATTTTCCAAGAAAATAATGATTTGTACGAAATGATACGACGCAGTTGAAATTAAGACAATATATTTTGTAAGTATTTTCTCGTGTTAATTGTGTTTGTCTACGTGTAGAATTTTACATGATTTCTCGAATACAATGACCCAATTTCATCATAAATAGAACAAGGAGGAAATACCTAGTCTAATCTTAGAAACGTTACGTTTAATTTGAATGGCCAATAGAAAACGTTTTCGTACAAGCTGTTTTCCATATACGGTAAATAAATTCAACACGTCATAAAGGTATATTCCGATTCTAACCAATCAAATTTAGGTGATTTGCATGATTCATTCATTTAACCAAATAGTAGCCTTACGAAAGTTAACAGTTACTGAAAGTAGTTCTTAATTAACATGAAATATAACGTTATATTGCACGTTTAAAACAATGATTATACACTGCAGTATGAGATATTTTTAATTTTGCACAAGATATTGACTTTAAAAGTTTAAATCAAAGCTCTAGTTTACTTTTTACGCAAATAAAAATTGCATAAAATTAAAACGCCAAGGTTAGTCGGTCTCTTGATAACTGTACTCTTCACACGTTGCCAACTTCACAATGGCGGCCTACACGACTGTGAAATACGGAAGGAACTAAGAGGGGGAGGATTCCCTTCCCAGGTGTAAATCGAGTGTTTTAAGTAACTAAAAGGAAACCATCAACGATTGAAGACATCAAAATTTGGAAAAAAACGGAATTAAATTTATTAAAAAGAGCTTAATTAGTTTCTACGTTTAAGAGCACAGACGCTTGGGGTTTGGAGCTCAAAACGCCTTTAAAATCCAAATAAAATGCATATTTGTCAATCCCAGCACATGTACTGATCATATATATCAAAAAAACTTAATATAAGCCGTTTTAAAAAAAATAATATTTCAACATCTATAATAATACACAAGATAAAAATGTTCGCCGGAAAAAATCCGCACCCCTACCGTCATAATCACCATGTATTTTAATCCATTTCCAATATTTTCACATAATCCTTTGGTCCATCGACACAGAAGATATAATTCTTCACGATGATGGTCAATTTTAAACTTCAACGGTAATATAAACAACGCAACAGCCGAAATAAACATCAATATTCTCGCCGTTTTTTTTCAACGACAAAAACTTTCGATAAATTCAATGGACCAGACGGCTATGAACGAAGCTATCCGATTATGTGGCCCCAGCTTTGCCGTGTGCAAAATGCGCAGCGCTTTTAAGTTTGGGAACCACATAATCGGATAGCTTCGTTCATAGCCGTCTGGTCCATTGAATTTATCGAAAGTTTTTGTCGTTGAAAAAAAACGGCGAGAATATTGATGTTTATTTCGGCTGTTGCGTTGTTTATATTACCGTTGAAGTTTAAAATTGACCATCATCGTGAAGAATGATATCTTCTGTGTCGATGGACCATAGGATTATGTTAAAATATTGGAAATGGATTAAAATACATGGTGATTATGACGGTAGGGGTGCGGATTTTTTCCGGCGAACATTTTTATCTTGTGTATTATTATAGATGTTGAAATATGATTTTTTTTCAAAACGGCTTATATTAAGTTTTTTTGATATATATGATCAGTACATGTGCTGGGATTGACAAATATGCATTTTATTTGGATTTTAAAGGCGTTTTGAGCTCCAAACCCCAAGCGTCTGTGATTTCAGAAATAGTTCAAAGACTTGTGACGTCATAACTAATACATGTATTTGCACGATTTGTTTTCTTTCGCAACTATTTACCGAATTTGTCTGAGCGTGATAAGACATCAAGAATTTGCGCATCATTGTCATATATAATCTCAATTTCATGATTTATATTCGATAAACTTTAATCTGTGATAGATCATCTAAAAAATGGAAAGTGAAAGTTGTTGAGTTTTGAACCCTCAACGTTTTATCTGTGATACATATTTTCTTTATGAGTCTAGTAAGACAAAGGCCCCGACTTCATATCCTTAGTCATGGGCCAAAACAAAGAAATCTTGAACAATCAGACAAAGACTTAGTTGCGAACGGGGGTTGTTTGACTCCAGATCTTCAACCAAATCCACCAGTTTTTCCAGCAAAACCAGAACAACAGTGTAAAATCTACAAGATTGGCAAATATTTACTGGAACATATTGAAGCTGAAACTTACAAAGCATGTGACTGCCAAACCAGGGATGAAAAAATATGCAGGGTAAGTATAATAGCTATTTGTAGATCATCATATTCTTAATTTGTAGTCAACTTTACTAAGTTTGAAGTTTGTTTTTTTTGTTTATAAATATTACTACATCTACAATTTAAGCAAGATTTATAACACATAAGTCTTAATTGATAACATGTCACACTCACAAGTTTCTGCGAGAGAAAGGTATGATACATGGTTTAAGAAATTGAACAAAGACCAAAACATTCAAGGGACAAAACTCTTTGTTGACTCAGGGGTCCTTTGTTAGGGGCCATGTGCTATGTTTAAGGGCCACTGAAGCTTTCTTTGTTCAAAAGTGCATTACTCATATTTATTTTTATTCAAACAATGATCAATGCAAGCTGTTGATATATGAATACATATATTGATATCATTTCCTGTGTTGTATTACAAAAATACATAGATCTGAAAATAATTAGATCTACCTGTATAATCATTATAATTTTTTATAAAACATAATAAACGCTTTTATAATAATAAAATAGTATTGGTTATTAGGAGGGTGATAAAATATATATTAACTATGATTTTTCTCAATTAATTTTGAAGGAATGGTCTTGATTTTGGGAAAATTTATTCCTAAAAATGCTTATTTGGGAAGTAAAAAGGCTTATGTACATGAACATATATATAAGCTCAGTCTTTTAAGCAAACTTCACAATTATTTTTTAAGAAAATTTCGATTGGTAAGAGGCTTCAGTTACATAAGGATTAAAGAAGTTAGAAAATAAGATCCTGAGTAATGGAAGTCCCTGTTGAGAAACAAGAATTTGATTTTAAACTAAAGAGAATGGTTTTGATGGACAAAATAAATATTTCAAATAAGGAAGTATCAAAAATGATATAGTAAGTAACTACAAGAATTTCTGATGTGAAAACTTGTCAAGCTGCCATCCAGATTGAATATACAACTTGAACTTATATTTTCTTAAAAATCATGTAACAAAATTGACTTCAAGGTATGAAATTTAAAGTTTTTGAATTCTTTAATATTGATATCAGCACTATCAATATTTCCTTGAGGCTAATATCTAGATATTCTTTGTATTGGTCATAAAATAACTGGCCGCTCAAAGTTATCTCTAATATTACATCTTTTTACACTGATTACATGTAAAATGATATGTTTAACCAAAGACACGCCCTAGGGGGACATGAGAAGTATGATGTAAATTGTCCAGAGCGTGTTACAAGAGTCGTAACCCTTTTTATTAATAAACCAGAAAACAATGAGAAAAAAAAACCTCACTGTATAAAATGTAATAAACCCTTACGTGGCTGACATGATGTTTTTCTTGTACATTTTGCAATCCTGACCAATCTGACCTCAAAATAACATTGATGACCTCGGGACAAGTATATCATTAGATAGAGTGAAGGCATTATTCATTAAATGCAGTTGAATATTCTGATAATTTTGCATCACAGACTGTTTTGTTGCTGTATGTGAGTATAGTCATGTACACACAAAACTGCCTGAATACTCTGTGAAGGTTATTGTAGGCAGACTTCATCTTACAGTCATAACAGTGTCATTTGACTGCATGCAGTGTTTCTTACAATACAGTATTCTTATATTATTTGCCTGTGAATTATATATATTATATATAATTATATATTATACTTATAGTTATATATTTATTCAAAGTTATGTCATTTTCTAATTGTTTAAGAATACAATGTTGGATTTGATGATCAGTAAGGAAGTTAAGGTAGGATGAAAATTAATTGAAATATAGATCTATAAATCTTGTTTCAATGAAAGTCTTCTATTATTTCTGTTTAATTTAGAATAAAAGAAATCATTGAGACATTTAATTTTTTAATGACACACAATACTAGTATAAACAGGAATTTAGTTCAAGTGATAGTAGGAAATAACTTTTTTTAATATAGCAAAAAAAAACTTTTAAACAATCATTCAAATTTGAGTAAACTTACCAAATTGTGGTTTGAGAAGGAAATCAACATTCCTTTATTAATAAGAAATATGTATATAATTAAATAAATATTGTTACATGTATGTGATATCAATGAGAAAGTTCAAGTATTAGGCCTGCTTAATACTGAATAGGTCATTCGGTTCATTTCTCAATCTTTGTTAGGTGCAGTTAACTTATACATTTATATAATTGATGAGATTATTATATAAGTAAGGTATTGATTTTGTATTTATAATTTAGTGCAAACGGTAACCTGTACAGTATGTTTTGAATTAAATTTGATATCATTGTTGTGTAAGTTGTGATTTTCTTTGTTACATAATTTACATACATGTACAAAGTCGCTGACTTTCATTATTAACCCTTTCCCCCATGAGCATATTGTGAAAAAATGGCCATTTTCACTGAAAAGCCTCCTCTTACAAGTTCAAACTGCTATGAAACTATGAAAAATGCTTCAATACTAATCAAACTTGGCACAAATGTTGACTGGACCATTGCCTTTGTAACGACATGCTCAGTCTTAAATTTCCTGTTATCATGGCAACGAGGGGACATCTTAAAATTGCCAAAAATCACTATTTTGCCTCGATTTTTTCCATCAAAATTTATTTCAAAGTGCTGCAACATCTCAAGGGATTGAGATAGAGTCAAAGGCTTTTCAGCGTTGGTTACACGTTACCTTATGATCGACCTGGGGTCATTTTAAGCCTCTCACAAGTCCAAAATTTTCTTGGCACATCCCCCTTGTGGCAACCCCCTGATGTATCTTTTGGATGGGGGGCGGTGCCGAAAAAGTGCTCACTTTTTTAGCAACATTTCTCAAACTAAAACATGTGTTTTGGGCCCAAATAGGACATTTTATTTCACTATTTCAGGCTAAAAAAAGGGGGGGTGGAAAGTGCGTTGTTTCGCGTATATATGAGGTAAAGGGTTAAGATAAGAACTTTTCTTGTTTATTATTCTGCATTTAACATATTGGCTCCAACTTTTAAGCATTGATGCCCCCCTTTGGTGCAAGTTTAATAGTATATCTGAAACTACTGAAGGGAATGGGTTGAAACTTCACATGGTTATTTGAGAGCATAATAGGAGGTCACTATCCAAGGCCTATGGCTTCAACTTGGATTTTGACAGATTTTTGGCCCTTTTTGAACTTTGAAAATTCTGTACATTATCCAGGCTCTTGTTTTACTATTAAGCACTGAGAACAGTCCGGCATGATATCCCACTGACAGCTTTTGTTTTATGAAGGGAGATGCTCAATAATAGTTGAGCTTATTTTATGTCATAGTCAGCAATCATCAGCAGCTATCTAGTTTGAGGATAGCACATATTTACAGAGTCAGTCTATAAGAACTTCATTGATTATTGGCCGCTTGGTGCACTCAGAGACATTTACAGCTGCCTCGTGTTATTGAACGTGTTTTCAAACCAGTGCCACTCCTGAGTATTGTCTCCTTGTAATATAATTGGAGATGAATTGTAATAGTATTTGAAAGAAATAGCAGGAGAAAATGTGACTCGACAATATTTTTTTGTTGTTGTCCTTTTTGGGAGTGCAATTAATAGCATCACACTCACAGTATGAAGAAAATTATATGATATCAAGGAATGGTTTCAGAGGGCCTTGATTTTGCCACCCCTGAGCCTGTTAGAGTAAATGGGCAAACACTTCATATAAAATAATAAATAAGTATTAGACTATATTAAATTGGAGAATTATCTTTAAATTGAGCTTTATTTTTTAACTTTTTCAGGTGTTTGAGATTAACAGATACCGTGACAGTTTGAGCGCATACTGGCAGGTTGACGCACATGAGAACATTAGCAGTATTTCTGAAATAATTCTCGGGGAAACGAAGGCATATGTGTTCTTCGACCGTCACTATGGTGACCTACATTCATACGTTAGACAGAAGAAAAGGCTGAAGGAGGACGAGGCTAGGAGACTCTTTCAACAAATTATCTCAGCTGTCAAACATTGCCACGACAGTGGCGTTATTCTACGTGATCTCAAACTACGCAAATTTGTCTTCAAAAATAAAGAGAGGTATGTACAACACAAATACTTGATCAATTATATAACTTATAAGACTTGTGGCATTTTATACTACTGTACATGAACTTTTATGGGATGTATTGTACAAAAATGGTATTGAGTGTTCACAAACTGATGATGAGTGTACTTAAAGTAATGTATACGAACCAATGTATTGTTTTGATGAAAAAACAAAATAAATATGTTTAACATTACATTTTATATACAAATTAGTATTATTTTCTGTATATATTCTAGCTTCTTCATTATAAAAGCAGTTAACTTGCAAGGAACTAAATCTATCCATTCAGGGTTTAATACAATGAAAAACAAGGAAATAATCATTGCCATTATTGATTACGGCTGAAATGAATAATCAACGTGAATTATGAACTCTGAATAATAAATATGCTTGGATTTAAGGCCATGAAATAGGTGATAATTATTATTCAAAATGAATGACACAACATTTCGATCATGTATCTAATGAAATATGTATCAAAATAGTTTGTAAGGGCGAGGTGTGACAGTTTATTACCTCCACATACAATGCGATTTCACCAAACCACTTAACTTTACTGTCACATGAAATTTGATTGTGCCTTAAGCTTTTTTTTGTTTACCAATTTAGCATAATTTAAGGTATATAGTGTAGAATGGAGAAAATGAAGGATAGAATATGATTAAAATTAAAAAAGCAACTTGAATGGTAACAATACATATATTTAAGTATGATGTACAAACATGCATTTAGAGTTCTATGACGAAAGGAAACCGTTATTTTGATATAAGTTGCCTGATACCTTTATTTGGAATGTTCCTTTTTACATACTTGTACAAGTTAAACCAACAAATATTTAGAAGCAACGGAAAGCTTGATCTTGAGATTTCGGTGGGAATCTTAATTAACCCTTACCGGTTACCCCACTAATTTTCACAAATGGACTTGTTAAGTTGCTTTGAATTTGGACCATTCCATAATGAATTAGAAGTTTTAGAGACTTCTATAACTAAATTAGAGAACTGAGATTCGGAAGTCGAGTCATGCAGGCTGTTGTCCAGTACTGGTGGCATACTAGCTTGAAGTTGCCTGGTTGGTGTTTTATGATCACCCCCACCCCCAGCATAAATCATGGAGAGAGGAATATTAATTAATTAGACATTGAACTTTAGTTGTATCAATATTTTGCTACATGTATATGTTTGAAATTGGATGCTTTTCACTGAATGATGCAATATGCGTGTAAACAACAAAAATTGTGTCACTATTTCATCATCAGGGTGTTTACAATCATCAATAATTCATATGTGTTTACATGATGCAATACATGTATCATTGCTGGGCTGTGTAAATTAATGATCTGTAACGTTTTTTCATAAAGACAACAACAAAAAAGCAGGGAGTGGTGGCTTATGGTGGTAATCGGACATGATCAATATTTACTATATGATTTATATAAGGTGCAAGAACTTGAGAAATTTATATGTTTATTTGAAACTAATACATGCGTCAGATTTAAGTATTTGTGCCTTTTGCAACTTTTTGTGTTACATTTTCAATGTTTGTCTCTCATGAAATTAACAGTTGTTTTTCCTTTACTTTGTTTTGTAAACTGACTCAGTAACTATTCTATTCAATGGCATACCTGGCATTTTGAATATGGTTAAATTCAATTCAAACATAGCCCAGGTATATTTTGTTTCGTTTCACCGAATTTCAAGTCTGGAGTATTCTAGTTGTTCTATTTTTAGCCTAATTTTAGGCATATTCATAATTGCATAAGCTGTAAAGTTCTACATTCCAATTTAAACCTTCCTCTTAAAAATGTATGGTTTTAAAGCGATTTTAAGTAGGTATATACATTTTGGTAAGCTAGTGGGATACAAAAAATGCTGTGATTCATAAATCATCCTTTCCTGTTTACTTCACCAGTGTATTTATAGAACAAAAGTAGGTTAAGCCATTTGCTAGTCAACAAGTTTTGTATTGCGTCAGCAAAATTAGCCATTCGGCAGGTAGTCAATAATATTTTGATGAAGTCTATACCATACATCAATGAACAAATGTTTATTGACTATTTTATTTTTACGTGGTGTTTAATGAAATATTTATTTACGTAGTCTTGAAAATTGTTCGTAGTCTTGAAAATTATTCGTTGTTTTTATCTAAGGTATATACATCATTATGGCATATTTGGTTGGAAATAAAATGTGGAGAACTGATTTTCTTTTTTCATGTCAATTTCTTTTCTGAAATCATGCTTTAATTAGTTTGTGTATAGGCTTCTAAATAAAAATGTTTGATAGCAATTTTTTTGATGATAAAGTTTAACGATATTGTCATATATAAGGTATTGTAGGTTTAACAAGTTTATCTCGAGTTGAATGAAATATTTGAGTGTTAGTTCACGAAAGTTGACCTCGTCCTATATTTCCTTACATCATCTTGATCGGCAGTGTTGGAGAACATTCTATTATTCTATTTGATACCAATAAGTAAAAAAAATAAATGGGACAAAAACAAGGTTCATCAATATTGTACTGAATATCTGTTGACCTTTCGTGGCAGTTTTATTTTATAATTCATTGTATAACTAACTATACAGTAAGATTTTGTTTCACGTAAGGTCAATGTCAGTAAACCTGTAAAATCTTACTGTATAATGCTATTGTACTTGGTTACTTTGTTAATGTTAAAACATTTGTCAACCATACCTAGATATTAAACCATGCATTTTGTTCTGATTTAAACATTGTTTTATTTTGGGTATTTTTGATAGTTTGCTATGGATTTGTTTAAACAAACATGTATATTTTTTCTGGAGGCGCTTTAATTTAGTAGGTGCTATGGTTTTAAATGATTTACGATTTACGGTTGTATATAATAATATTGATCAATGTTTTGTTAATAATATGGTAACTTTAATAAATAAATAAAGAGTTTTTAGTCATCAGCTTATAGATAATTATAATAAACTGTTTGTTGTATGAAATTAAATTACACTAATGTTCCAAGGGGTTAAACCCTTACTTTCGTAGAACCAAGCTTTTGACGGTACTTAGCCATCATTCACTCTGGGCAAAAAATTTTGGGAAATCTTTTTACTACATACTGACTGAATAGCAAACAGTGCAGAACAGAATCTTGTGCTGCACTGGTAACATGGGTAGATTAAGTTGCCGCATGCAGGCTACATTAATATTTTAAGGGTGAAAATGTGTCACAATGAATATTTTATAGTCGTGGTGGATACAGGCATTGAGGTACCATGACAATTAAAAATAAGTATCACCCATATTCCCATTCCGAAAAGTGCCTCCGTATACTTTCACATCATTTAAACATCATTTAAACTTTTCAATCCAACATTTAAATCTCAGGAAGTAAAGCTCTAATGTTTTGTGTTGTGCAAAGCATTATGTATATACGTATGTAAGTTTAAATTTAATGAGCGTACTGAAGGCATGCGGAAAAAAAATCTTCATATATGGTACTCCACCTTGTTTTGCATATTTGGCCAGGTAAAACAGAGCTGACGTAGAGAAGGTAGTAGATTTTATACAGTGGGCGTTGTCGTATAAATATATCAGTTCATGTAAGCGTGTTATCTGGAGGTCGCCTCCCTTGTTTTATTGCGTTATCAGTTAAAATTTGAATAGTTTATTTGCGTTCAATTGAGACAGCAGACTTGTATCTGCTATATTGATCATGTGTACTAAACAAGTACATGGAAGAATATTCTTGTCCCCAGATTGAATCATGTTTAAGTAAATGCTTTAACTAAACTCTGATCATACAGAGCGGATGTGTCGGCTGAGCTTGGTCTTCACTTATTTCATGGGTAGAATATGTATCAGCCAGCAGGCTGAAGGTTAATCAAAGAGCTGTATTGGCTGTATGACCTTCACGGAGGCATACTAAGGTATCATGGCTGTATGATAGTAAATCACATTTTAATACCAAAATCCATCGAACTTACTTTCAATGAACAATTTCCAGTTATTCGAAGTTGGGCTAGTTCATTGCGCAAAACTAGCGTGATAAATGAAACAAGAACATTAGAACTGTACATGTCTTTGTTTGCATATCAGGCTTTGTCATTGGATAATATTTTATCAGGGCTATTATTGGTGCTTCCGTGTAATTTTAACCCAGATGGATCAGAAACTGTTTGAAGCTATTTCTCAACAGATTTTAAATTATTTCATATTTAAATGTATGTATGAAAAACTTTTACTCTAATTGAATTTTCTATAATTATAAATACATGAATGATGACAAAGTGTTTAAAGGGAAGTTGTTGTAGGCATTTCAACATGATCTAGTAATTATTGATCTTGATTTCCTGTTATAAGCTTATCTGGTATGTTTACCTGATCTTCATTACTTCCTTAATAAAGGACTGAAGGAAAGTTGGTTTACCAGTTTGTGGTACAGAATCGTGACTTCAGGCCAGGATATTTAGTTACCAGTATATTAAACAATCATGTGCCCAACAGATCCATGGTAAACTAAAAATAGTCCAGGTAAAGCTAGATCAAAGTCAATATGTAAATTAGTTGAAAGTATTTTTGCAGAAGGGCATTAATTGTAAACAGACCTGTTCAGATTCGTGCAGACTATTTTTATTTATAACTTTTCCGCGTTTAAGTTTGTTTGAATGCAGATATCGGTTATAAAAAAGAAAATTTGAAAATGGGAACAAACTTGCTGTAATTGTCAATCTGCAACAGACTTCATTTAGACAGTTTTTGTGTTGTTTATTTTACTGTTAAAGGTCAAGTGAAGGGTGAGGGTTATTTCGAAATATTAAGACAAAGGTATTTGAACAGGTAAATACACCTTGAGGGATAAAATGGGCAGTTTCACAATTTGTCAGTTTTATTTCAAAAGGTCATTAACCATTGTGTAACCCCCTCTATAAAATTACATGTATCTCCAAACGTTTTAAGACATTTAAGAAATTTCACTATTTTATGACACACACATACCATTATAGTGTCCCTTATGTAAAGGCTATTATTATTAAGTGGTTTATGAATGGGACCGATCTTAAACGTCGCAGTAGATTGTCGTAAATACATACGTAGAAGGTTTATATTTGAAATGATAGTGCAGTGGCTTGCGTACTGCGTAGATATATTTGCAAAAAATCAATTGTAATATTGCACTATAGTACTATTGAATGATGAAGTGAAATGAAATCTATACTGTACACTTGTATTGTATAATGTCTAAAAATATTTAATGTTCCAAAACTTTTGTTTTTAGTAAATTTGAAATGTTTTCAGAGTTTAATAGAGTAATTTGAGTGACGTGTGTCTCCATGCCACAGTCAGTATAGGTACACCAGTCTGCACATTAGTGCAGTCTGACCAGGCTCTTCACATTTTGCTACTCTGGTTTATAGTCTATTTTGATACTGAATTCCCTTAAACTTTAATTAGACTGTTCCGAATTTATAGCAGGGCAATTCCATTTCATTTATTTAGGGGCTGTTTGTGTCAAATCTGATGAATTTGTATAATTTTATTGTTAACCAGGTTTTCCGAAGGAAAAAACTGGTTATTAGATTGAGGTATGTCGGCGGGCGGGCGGACGGGCGGGCGGGCGAGCGGGCGTAAACAATTTCTTCTGTGCGCAACTCCTCCTACATTTCTCAACGGATTTTGACCAAACTTTCACAGAAGCTTTGTCATCAAGTGCCCTGGCGCATATTGTCGGGGTTTTGCGATTAGATAATATTTGACCTAATTATGGCCCTTTGTTTTTTTTCCTTATATAAAATATATAGTGAACAATTTCTTCTGTGCGCAACTCCTACATTTCTCAACGGATTTTGACCAAACTTTCTCAGAAGCTTTGTCATCAAGTGCCCTGACACATATTGCCAGGGTTTTGCAATTGGTATATATTTGACCTAATTATGGCCCTTTGTTTTTTTTCCTTATATAGAATATATAGTGAACAATTTCTTCTGTGCGCAACTCCTCCTACATTTCTCAACGGATTTTAACCAAACTTTCACAGCAGCTTTGTCATCAAGTGCCCTGGCGCATATTGTCGGGGTTTTGCGATTAGATAATATTTGACCTAATTATGGCCCTTTGTTTTTTTTCCTTATATAAAATATATAGTGAACAATTTCTTCTGTGCGCAACTGCTCCTACATTTCTCAACGGATTTTGACCAAACTTTCTCAGAAGCTTTGTCATCAAGTGCCCTGACACATATTGCCAGGGTTTTGCAATTGGTATATATTTGACCTAATTATGGCCCTTTGTTTTTTTTCCTTATATAGAATATATAGTGAACAATTTCTTCTGTGCGCAACTCCTCCTACATTTCTCAACGGATTTTGACCAAACTTTCACAGAAGCTTTGTCATCAAGTGCCCTGGCGCATATTGTCGGGGTTTTGCGATTAGATAAAATTTGACCTAATTATGGCCCTTTGTTTTTTTCCTTATATAAAATATATAGTGAACAATTTCTTCTGTGCACAACTCCTCCTACATTTCTCAACGGATTTTGACCAAACTTTCTCAGAAGCTTTGTCATCAAGTGCCCTGACACATATTGCCAGGGTTTTGCAATTGGTATATATTTGACCTAATTATGGCCCTTTGTTTTTTTTTCCTTATATAGAATATATAGTGAACAATTTCTTCTGTGCGCAACTCCTCCTACATTTCTCAACGGATTTTGACCAAACTTTCTTAGAAGCTTTGTTATCAAGTGCCTGGCACATATTGTAGGGGTTTTGTGATTGGATAATATTTGACCGCATTATGGCCCTTTGTATAGTTTTTCCTTATACAGAATATATAGTGAACAATTTCTACAGTGTGCAATTTCTCTTACATTTCTCAATGGATTTTGATCAAACTTCACAGAAGCTTTGTCATCAAGTGCCCTGGCGCTCACTAAATTCCCGTGTTTCTTCCAAGACATCATTCAAGTATATTTTTAAAATTGTGAACATACTTTTCTTGATATCACACAAAACACCACACGCCAATATTGTTGACAAAAGAAAATGACAAGAGACGCAAAAATGCAAAAATTAAGCAAAAATAAAGTACTGTTTACCTTTCTAAAACATTTGGGAAAAAAAGGCGAATAGACAACATAAAATTTCTCAATCATTTTTGTTTGAGGAATATTAAAAAAAGCCATAATTCCTCCTAAAAGTTCAATTAAAAACAAATGCCCCTTCATGACAAAGCTTCTGTGAAATATTTTGCTGAAAACCTGGTTGCATCGCATTGCGATGTTCCTTGTTAAATGATTATAGAGGTTTCACTTATAATGGTAGATTACTTCTGATGATTAAAACTTCGGAAATTATTCATGTTATAAACAAAGTTTTGTGGGAAAGACAAAAAAAATCATGTACATTGAAATCTGACTGGTTTAAAAGTTATTTGGGAGGAAGTGAATATATGTGACTTCAGTGTGTGTACTTGAATGTGTGCTTACCAAATTTATTTGTAATAAAGAAAAAGTAGGTGAGATGATATAATAAGCTAGGCACGTAAAATATCTAAGTTGATATCAGCAGACAACCCTAGGTGAAATAGTTTGGCAGGCCACACTCAAATCATTGTTTGAAAATATGTGAACAAAAAAAGATGTGTTTAGTTTTTAAACTCTTTGTCAAAAGCGTGATACATGTACAACAAATAGATTTTGAATTTGAATTATTGATTTATAGAAAGAAAAAAATTTGCCTGTCTTAATGTTTGTTTGAATTTATGATATGAATATTTACATGCTGTGAGTTCATGAAAGTGCTTGAGAATAAATGTTTATAGTAAATAATAATAAAAAAAAATAATTTGCATGAACGCATTTCATTGCCTGACATGACGCAGGGTAAATTCTGATAATATACAGCATGAATTGTTAACTCATTTAAACCACATGACTTGAAAGTGATAAAAAAAAATCTTGTTTATCTGTTTAAATTAAATGGAGTAGCATTATATTATAGTGTATGATCTCACACTGGTAGTAATAAATTACCACTTTGTATTTTCTTGATTTATTAAATTGTTGCTTGGTCGTATGACTTGATCATTGATGATTCAAAACAAAATGTCTTTTTGTCTATTTTCAGGACAGAGTTGCGACTTGATAGTCTCGAAGATGCATGCGTCCTCGACAATGAAGACGATGATCGTCTATCGGATAAACACGGGTGTCCGGCTTATGTCAGTCCGGAAATTTTAAACGGGACTCCAACTTACAGTGGAAGAGCAGCCGACATGTGGAGCCTAGGCGTCATGCTTTACACAATTTTAGTTGGACGCTATCCGTTCCATGATGCCGAACCAACCGTTCTATTTTCAAAAATTCGAAGGGGCCAGTATACATTACCTCCATCATTGTCATCAAAAGCAAAATGTTTGCTTAAAAGTATTTTACGTCAAGATCCCAGCTTACGTCTGAGCGCGGAAGAATGTTTATGTCATCCTTGGCTTAATCGGGGATCTTACTCTAATGGCTTTATCACTATAAGTAATAAATATAATGATCAAACCGTTCCAGATATTGTTATTAAAGATTACGATGATGACCTTTTCACCTGAACTGTTCTATACGTGCTCGGCTACATCCGGGTGACATTTAACAAATTTATTGCAAACATCCCACGTCGTCGTCGGTTATGAGTGGGTTGTTGGTATTTATAGATGGGCTAAATCTGAGACTTGAAAACAAGTTAAAGAGAATGATTTGAGGCACATGCCAATGCAAAGAAAGATACAAGAAACTTTTATGTTGAAAATAATGTTGAATTTTTTTCTGCGGCAATACAGTGTGTTTAGGGGTTGTTTTCCATTGGTTTTTTTGTGATTTATTTTTGTTGACTTCTTTATGCATTCTGGAAGATTTGGTAATGTATTCTGTACATGTTTAATTCTGAACAAGTTGTTAAACCTGGCATTTTTTATTTTCGTTTTCTTTTTTTGTTGCATAGTAATGTGCTTTAAGCATTTTTGGCAATGAACTCAACTCTGTCATGAAATCTTACAAGAAAATTTCATGTAAAGTTTTCTTTGACCTTGATAACTTTTTTCAAATATTTTATAATTGTGGTCTGAGGCGAAATGAAAAATACATGAGGTAATGTGATACTATAGTATCTATGGTACATGTGTATAAGTTTTGAATCTAAGCTGAATGTTTTATTCCAGTTAGATATTTTTCTTTTATTTCTTTTTTTATTTGGTGACCATACAGTTTAATCAAAATGAATGTCTAGAAAATGTTTGCCTATTCATTTCTCCTTCTCACTGTTGTTTCTATGTATGTTAGTATTTATTCATGTATTGTTGAACTTTTTTTATGTTGTTTTTCTTTAAATGAAATGCCAGGAGTTTTTTTTATGGATTTTTTTTTAAAGAAAAAACTGGTCAATTGAATCTATATATGTCTGGTTTAATTTGGATTAATACTTGGACATCCTTGGTTAAATATGGAAATTTTTCGGTTCGTTCTCAGTCCAGTAAACAAAATTATTGTGATATTTGGTAATTAGAATGGAACAAACTTGAAGTTTGAACAGTTAAAATCTTATGAAGTTTATTATTATATATATATTTTTTTAATAATTGCCGCAGAATTATTTTGAAGAATGCTTACTCGGAGGTTATTTAAATTTGGAGTCAGGATCTAGGTGTTGAAGGGGCGGGATCTTGGTATTGAAGGTGGGATCTATCTCTAGACGTTCCAGTATTTAATTTATTTGACTAGCACAATATAGTAGAAATTGTATTGTTTATATATATACATGTAAGTCATTTTGTTTGTTTGGCAATAATTATTATGTGCATCCAATGGTGCATCAAACTGGTGGCAAGGGGTGTAAACTCTGTCATGTCATGCCAAATTGTGTTGAAAGGAAAACATGTCATTGTTTATGGCTTTTATATTGTGTTTATTTTGTAATTTTTAAACGTAAGCCGAAACTGTTAATTGTCCAATGTGCTGAGAGAATGGGCAATATATTATCCTCGAGTTATTGTTTTTAACTTGAAAAAGGAAGGAATAAAAAAAAAATATGAAAAGTGATATATTTTATGTTTTATTTTTACTTTATATTTACTTTATATGTTCTGAATGGAATGAGGTGTACCAGTATAAAAAGATTTGTATGAAACAATGTCCGCAATCGTTATAAATGGTGGATATTTACCAAAATATTTATGTAATTGAAAATTGTGGACAGAAATGTAAAGATCAATGGTCATACGGTAACTAACTAGATTTACTTATGAAGGAAGCTGTCAGGTGCCTCTTTATGCATTAGTATAATTGTATGCTGGCAGGCGAGCAGAACCAAATATTTATACAATAACCTTAATTAAGCTAGATAGCTTACTTATATATGAAAGTATTTGAAGTCACTGATCAAGTATTCAAAATCCACACAGGGGCAAATGTTTAAAAGTCGAGTCGCCATGGAGTTATCTGTTTGTGTTAAACATTTAAATAAAGTGTTATGTGGAAAGACCACATTCTTATGTTTCATCTTTAAAAAATTGTCCCCCCCCCCCCCCAAAAAAAAAGAAAAAAAAATTCATTTCACAGACCATAATGAATTGAAAAAAAATCTGTTTTAAATACCCCCATAACATTTGTATTGTAATAATAAACAATGCATGACCATTGGTTATAATTTATGAAAAGATTATTTGTAAAACCGCTTAAAACAAGTCTTCATACACAGAAAGTGTGTACTACTACTCTAGGCTCGAGTGCATTAACAAGAAAAACCTGAATATTATCAGAATATCATATTTTCCGTAAAGGTCAGACACTCACATTGATATTCCCATAGACTTACATTATAAGAAATGGTCCCTAATCCTACCTTAAAATTGAGTTGTCATGCTCAAGAGGTGATATTTCTTACAGAATGAAATGCCTGACACATGAAAATATTCCTGTTATATAGGGGTAGTCAACCAAATTTTTTGCAAAATGACTTCAAAGAGGATTGCCCCCCATTTCATTGAAATTTTCAGCTGATCACAGGACTGACATACACTTTTTAGCTCGACTATTCGATAAGAATAAGTAGAGCTATTGTAGTCGCCAGAGTGTCGGCGTCGGTGTAACCACTTATGTTAAAGTTTTTGTAATACCTCAAATATTTTCAAAGTCCATTGACATATGGCTTTGAAACTTTGCACACTTGTTCACCATCATGACCCCAACTTGTAGACAGGAGGAGGTAACTCTATCAATCATTTTGACAGAATAATGCCCCTTTTTCAACTTAGAATTTACGTTAAAGTTTTTGTAATACCTCAAATATTTTCAAAGTCCATTGACATATGGCTTTGAAACTTTGCACAATTGTTCACCATCATGACCCCAACCAGTAGACAGGAGGCGGTAACTGTATCAAGCATTTTGACAGAATTATGCCCCTTTTTCGACTTAGAATTTACGTTAAAGTTTTTGTAATACAGCAAATATTTTCAAAGTCCATGCACATATGGCTTTGAAACTTTGCACACTTATTCACCAACATGGCCCTAACCTGTAGACAGGAGGAGGTAACTGTATCAAGCATTTTGACAGAATAATGCCCCTTTTTTCTACTTAGAATTTACATGTAAGTTTGCATACCACTTCAGATATTTTCATATTCTATTGGCATCTGGCTTTGAAACAAGTTGAAATTTTATACTCTTCTTTGAGAGCATAATAGGACTCTCTTCAAGGCCTATAACTGTAACATGGTTTTAAAGAAAAAATTTGCCCTTGTTAACATAGAAAATTTTACATTATCAAGGTCTTTTTACTGTCAAGCACTAAGAATAGTCGAGGGTTGCTGTCCTACCGACAGCTCTTGTTATAAATGCAAATATCAAGTCAAAAACTAGAAATATGTCCATAGGACACAGGTGCCCCCACACTCCATTGTTCTGTCAATCTTATGACTCTATGTAAAATATTTTTTGGACTACATATGCCACAAGATGAAAACTTAAAATCTTTTACTAAGTAAAGGGCAAGAACTTTACAAATACTGAATAAATCTACAAGCAAACAACAAGGTGCATAAGTACACATGCTGACCAACATTCTTGTAAACTTTCAGGCCTACAAGTCAAAAACGTTTTTGAGCTAAGCATGAACAAGTTGAAAATTGCAAATCTATACAACTATAAGTCAAGGGCAATAACTCTTAACAAAATTGAAAAAAAAAATCCACATGCAAAGTCCCAGGTGCATAGCTTCATAGTGATGTTGACCATTATTCCTGTAAACTTGGTTGATTCTAACTCAAGCACTGAAAGAACAAATAACATAATTAAACGGTTTTAACTAAGTCAAGGACAATAACTCAGATAAAACAGAATCAATCCACAAGCGAAACCCCAGGTGCACAAATTCCAATACTGATCAATAGTTCTGTACATTTTCATGAATATAGGTCAAATACTCTTTGAGTTATATGCGACACAAGTTGTAAATTGCTAATTTTTACTAAGTCAAGGGCAATAACTCTTAAAAATACTAAATAAATCCACACGAAAATACTCAGGTGCACAACTGCACATGCTGATCAACATTCCTGTAAAGTTTCATGACACTAGGTCAAATACTTTTTGAGTTGTGTGCGACACAAGTTGAAAATTGCAAATTTTTACTAAGTCAAAGACAATGCACTCCATGGACTCTAAAAATACTAAATAAATCCTCACGAAAATACCCAGGTGCACGACTGCACTTGCTGATCAACATTCCTGTAAAGTTTCATGACTCTAGGTTAAATACTTTTTGAGTTACGTGCGACACAAAAGAGAACGGACGGATGGAAGGACGGATGGACAAGGGTAAATCTAATCCCCCCCCCTTTCTAACGTGGGGTAGAGTAGTTCTGGCTTCCAAAACTTTATAAGCCGCTATTTAACATTTTTGTTTTTCATCTGATGAGTTCACGTCATGTCATAGTATAAAAGGGTACGCTGAAGACCTTAATTAAGCTAGGGGTAGAGACTCGTGAAATATTTCATTTTCTTCAGAAAACAATGAAGTATTACTTTCTAAATTAGTTTTATATACTTTTCATCCAATCACTTCATGTCCAATTGAATCATAAGGTTTTCTTTTTCAGCCAATCGCTACAATGCGATACTTTGACCTAAAATGTTACTTCAAAGTTGATATTTTAATGAATTTGAAGGCTATGCATTAACTTAAAGTTGATGTTTGTGTTGATTTTGTTTGCCCTGTAGTGTAAACCAGTTAAAGAGAAGGGCTTCCGTTATGAGAAACAACATGTACTACAGTTATTTTTGAGAAGAAGTACATTTACCCTTCTTGGTTAACAGAAATATAGTAACACAATAGGGTAACCAGGTTGCATGTTATCAACAACATGTGACAACAACAGCAAAAAAGAAAGAATTAATAATACATTAAAACAAGAGGGCCATGATGGCTCTAAATCGCTGACCAGAAACAACTGTTTTTCAGTGTTAGAAATTATTTTTCAACTGAACTTGGACTTGCCAATGCTCAACTTTAATCTGCCCCTCTATTTATATACGTTTACAACACTGATTGTTGTGGGTTTTTTTTGGTGGTTTTTTCAAGTATGTATGTCAAAAAACAAGGAAGTAGGTAAAATGGTATCAAAAATATCAAAAGTAGATCAGATTTTATCAAACATCAGAAATTGCACCCTTGGTTCAAATTCCACGTATCAAATTAATATGAGCAAATTTGATAAAAGACTACCTAAGAATCGACAGACAAAGTTTGGTGATCAACCATCAATCATTTTAGTAGGAGATGATATTCAAAGGTTTTTCTATTTTAATCTTTAGGGGCCCCTAAAAGGGGCCAATCAAATTTATATAAAAGACTACCTAAGAATGCTACAGACAAAATTTGGTGATCATCCATCCATTAGTTCTGTAGAAGGAGATGTCTAAAAAATTCTATTTTTAGCTCATCAGACCCTTAAAAGGAGCCAATTTGATTTATATGAGCAAACTTGATAAAAGACTACCCAAGAATGCTACAGACAAAGTTTGGTGATCATCCATCAATTGGTTCCGTAGAAGAAGATGTTTAAAGATTTTTCTATTTTTAGCTCTGTTGACCCCTAAAAGGGGCCAATTGAAATGACAGGAGCAAATTTAAGCGTCACTGTTACAAGGATGCTACAGACCAAATTTGAGATAAATCTGCCCAGCAGTTTCAGAGAAAAATATCAATATTCGATGAATGTTGACGCATGACGACGGACGCCGGAGCATCCCTCTTTGATACGGTTCTGGTGAGCTAAAAGTAATCAGACAAAATACAGCAACACACATGTAATAGGCAGCCAGATACAACAACATGATAGGCAGTCAGATACAACAAGATAAGCAACCAGATACAAGATAAGCAACCAGGTACAACAAGATAAGCAACCAGATACAACAACTTGATATGCAACCAGATACAACATGATAGGCAACCAGATTCAACAACAAGATAGGTAACCAGATACAACAACATGATAGACAACCAGATATAACAAACGAAAAGGCAACTAGATACAACAACATGATAGGCAACAAGATACAACAGCAAGATAGGCAACCAGATACAACAACATGATAGACAACCAGATACAACAACAAGATTGGCAACCAGATACAACAACATGGTAGGCAACCAGATTCACCAACAAGATAGGAAACCAGATATAACAAAGGATTGGCAACCAGATTCACCAGCAAGATAGGCAACCAGATTCACCAACAAGATATGCAACCAGATACAACAAGATGATTGACAACCAGATACAACAACATGATAGGCAACCAGATTCACCAACAAGATAAGAAACCAGATACAACAACACGATTGGCAACCAGATTCGCCAACAACATAGGCAACCAGAGACAACAACAATATTGGCAACCAGACACAACAACATGATAGGAAATCAGATACAACAACAAGATAGGAAACAAAATACAACAACAAGATAGGAAACCAAATACAACAACAAAATAAGAAACCAGAAACAAAAACAAAGTTGGACACCAGATACA